AAACATACTGTCCAGTTGCATTTTTCCATAAACCTTTTGATGTCTCTTTCTGTAACCTCCTCAACTGGATGTGCGAAACCACCGTCCTTCTTCTTCCGGTGTCACTGCTCTTGGCCTGGCCCAGGGGTGCTCATCAAAATAAAGCCACGAATCACCCCAACAGGGCTCCTCTCTCACAGCTTACATCCCAATGTGGAGGCTGGAGGTAGTAAGTTCCAGGAAGGAAATGAAGGAATGACAGGCACCAGAAAATTCCCCATAAGAGCTAACATCTTTTTTTTTTCTTTGTGGTTGTTTTTTCCCCTTTTATTTATTTATTTATTTATATTTTTTACAATCTTTACATAGTTAATTAGGGTAAAAAGGTTCAAGGGCTATAGGAAAGTGGGTAAGACTATTATTTCCATATTGTTTCCTTCATGTTTAAAGGGGGTATTAAGGGAGAAGGCCCACCCAGTTTCCCACCCACCCCAGGTCCTGGATGTAGGGTATGCTCTGAGGTTCTTGCTCAAGTGGTTTTGACAGTTCAACAGTTATGAATCACTGCCAATCTTGCCACTCCAAACACTATGAGGTCTTGGAAGAATCCACTGATTGACATAGTCCATCATTGAGTCTCCGTTTGCCCCGTATTTCACTGCCAACATATGGCTGAGATGGTTCATAGACCTGTTCTGTCTTCTGTCTTTTCTTGGTTAGGGTTCTGAGTCCAGCATTTTGGTTGGGGAGATCTCCAAAGAAACTTTGTCTCAGGTGTTCTCAGACCAGATTCTTGTATGTGCTAGCAAGTGCGGGGCCTGGCACAGTCCATCGCCATGATCAGGTGGTGGTTGCAACTGCTGGGTTGGTTCTGTTTTCGGCCCTGACTTCCACTGGAACCAATGGGTATTGCAGTCCAGCCTGGTTCTGCCCAGCACATACTCGGCCCTCTCATTAACCAGTGGGAGCTGCAGCCTAGTTGGAGCGACCCACAATAACCCCCTACCCTGGTTTGCCAGTATATGTAGCAGTAGTTGAGTCTGTCCCACACCGCATTCCACCCCAGCCCCTGTCCTGGTTTTCGTGCCCTCCCGTGGAAGTGATAACGCAAGAGGGAGGAGCCCCACTATTTCCCTCCCAGGCCTCTCCCATTCCTGGATTATGTACTCTCCAGGTAGTTTTGTGGTTTGACTTGACAGAACTAGCCCCCAGTGCCAGCTTCTGCCAGCTGATGCTGTGGCTAAGCTCAAACAACCCTCACCCACTCTAACTTTGTTTGCACCAGTAGGAATAATCAGCCCAGCCTGGCTTTTCCCTGATCTAGTCCACATGAAGCATACAGGTGTTGTAGCCCTGCTTAGTCTGGTCTGCCCCTATCCCAGCTCATGCTCTCCAGGGGGAGTAGCTGTCCAGCAAAGGAACCACTCCTTATTCCCCTGCCAGCTCTGTCCCCTCCCTTCCTGGTTCTCACACGTGCTGGTTGGGCACTGCGGTCATGTCCAGTACAGTTCATCCCACCTTGGCATTCCGTATTGTGCACTAGTTTGTGTTGTGACTGAACCTGGCTCGACCCACACTTTTCTGGTGCTTGCATTTGCCAGTGGATGACGTGGACAGATTCAGCCTGGTCTTCCCCCGACCCATGCCAAATGTATGCCAGTGGGAAATTTTCCATGGCCTGTTCTGGGCTGTTTCCTATCATGTTTCTTGCGCTTACCTGCCGGGTCTGTGTCTTGCCAGAGGAGTTGCCCAGGCTACTCCATCAGAACCTCTCCTAATGCCAGATTTTGCACATACCAGTGGGTCCATGAGCCAGCCCTACTCAATTCACCTCCTGTCCTAGGAGGAACAATGGCTTTTCCTGACTGGCCTTCAACCTAAACTGGTCCTTGCTGTTGGATGTTTCAGACCAGCCATGGCTCATCCATACCCACATATGGCTCACACATGTCTCAGTAGGGGTTTGAGATCTTGCCTAGTCCATTCCACATCTACCCTGGTCCTCCAAGACACCAGAGGATGTTGGAATCTTGCCCAGTTCGGTGCATCCAATCCCAGTCCATGCTTGTGCCAAGGGAGACTACAACCATTTCCCATTCAGAACGCAGCCCCCATTCCAGGCCATACACCCCTTGATGGGAACCTCAACCCAGTTAGGGTGTCCCCTTAGTTCCTCAACCGGGCCTGTTCCCAGTCATAGATCACGCGCATGCCAGTGTTTGCTCTGACTCAGCTTGGCGCAGCCCCTCACTTGTCCCGACCTCTGCCTTAGACACTGTGGCTTAGCGTTCCTGGCTCTTGTAGACCAGTAGGTGCAAGAACCTAGCTCGGCATGACCTGTGTGCCCTCCTGGTCTCTAGTTTTGCTGTGGGCCAAGGTTTGCTCAGTCCTGCCCGGTCTACCCTGTTCCATTACCAATTGACACATTAGCCAGCTGTTGGAGCTACTTTGCCCAGCTTGTCCAACCTCCAGGTCTGGACCACATGTTCGCTAGCTGGAGCTATGACTCACCAAGGGAATTTCCCAAGTTCCTCCACTTAATCCACTGCAATTTTCACCTTCCATTTGGCCTTGTATTAGTTGGTGAACGTCACAGCCCAGCCCACCCCACACACTATTCAGGATGCACATTTGGGTGCTGCTGCCCTGACCAGTCCAGACTGTTGGAGGTTCCTTTACCTGTGATTCATGGCAGTCTCCTTGGTCACACCTAGCTTAGTCCATCACCACCCCAACTCTTGAGTTAACCAGTGGGGCTAGAATTTCTACAGGGTTTGGCCCACACGTCCCTCACAAAATCTACCCCCGGTTATGGTTCTCAAGTGCTAGTTAATGTAATGGCCCTGCTTAATGTGACCCTTCTCCTGATCCATCATCATGTCAGGTAACAGGATATGATTCTGCTGGACAAGTCCCGAGCCATAGCTTTGCATGGACCAGTATTTGGTGGTCAGCATTGTTCAGTGATTACAAGTTTCTCAAAGAAAGAGTTACTGTCATTAGGAATCTTTACGTTTGCTTCACATTCCAGAAGCACAGTGGGTTCAACCTGGAGCTACCTAAGCCACGATTCAAAGAACCAAAACCCCAGAGCTCCCTGGCTGGGCGGCCAGCAGGCAGAGCCTGGCACCAAATGGCGCTATGGCCACCCGGGGACAGCTCACCACGTGCACATGGTGGCTGTCATCTGGGATCCAGGCATGAAACGCCCCATCCTGAGACCCACCAGCAGCCAGGAGGCTGCTGGAAGTTTAAACTCCCAGGCCAAAGGTCGCACCCCTCCCCAATCCCATTCACCACCCAATGAAGGCGCGGATGGGTCCCAGACCTGGCCAGTCATGGAGACCTCCCCCCTCGGTGTACTCACCCTGAAGGGAGAGCCCCAGGAGCCCAGGCAGGCCGGGGACAGCTCACTACTTGTACATGGTGGCTGGTGTCTGGGATCCAGGCATAAGACGCCCTGTCCTGAGACCCACCAAGAGCTAACATCTTAAGGGCACGTGTTTCACTTAGTAGTTAGAATGCCCATGAGGGCCATAGCAGCACAAGCTACCGCCTGTGATGTCGCCCTCCCATACAGGTACCAGTTAATGTCCTGCACACTTCACTTCCTGTCCAACTCCTTGCCAGTGGCCTGGGAAAATCAGTGGAAGATGACCCAATTATACCCACATGGAAGTCCCGGAACAAGCCTCTCTGGCTCCTAGCTTTGGACCGGCCCAGATTGAATCTCTCTGTAACTCTTTTATGTAAATAAATCTTTATTTAAAAATCAGTAGTAGGAGGAAGGAGGCTCTTGCGGTAATGGCTTGGGTTCTGTCAGGGTTTCTCAGCCTCAGCACTATTGACATCACAGGCTGGACAATTCTTTGTTGGATATGCCATCCTGCACAGCACAAGCAAGATAGTGAGTGGCATCCCCAGCTTCTTCCAGCCGGAAGGTCAGTGACAGTCTCCCCAGCTGTGGTGTCCCAGGATGTCTCCAGACACTGCCATGTGTCCCCAGGAACACTACCATTTTGTGGGAGAACCACAGAACCAGCTGATGGCTGTCATGATAGGCTGGGATGCAGTGTAGGGATAGAACTGACTGCACTGTGGTCGAACGGGAAAGGAGGAGCTGCCCAGTGCCTGCCAGGTTCTGGTTTGAGAATCTAGGTAGATAGCATCACAGACTTCAGCCTCTTGACCTTGGTCTTCCTTGTCTTTGTACCTATTCTTGGTATTGTTTACCTGAAGGTCCAACTTCAACACCATCTTCTGGATGTTTTCCCACACTGGCTCACCAGAGGTGACACTTTTTCCCAGGGAATTTCTACCAACACTGTGTCAGTTCCACTCTTGGGATACTTTCTGGTCCTTCCAACTTCTGTCGACTCCAGGAACAAAAAGCTCTGGAGCTACCAAACAGGAGCAGCTTTTTAAGTGGTTGGTTGAATTGCCTGACTTTGTTTCTGTCTCTTGCTTCTGTCCTGGGCTCCTGTTGGTGGCCCTAAGATGACCATCACGTACTCGGGCTCTGGCTCCAGGGCCTTCTGCTGTAGTCCTTCACCAGGCTAGTCTGGAGTTTGTCACAGAATTGGGGATGAGAGAGGGTGGTCCTTATTATTTGTTACCTGATGTCCTGGTTATTAGTATGTCCATTATCGCCTTGTGTACCCAACAACAGAAGGGCAACTATATGAATCTATCCATTAGGATGCCTGCTGCTTAGCACAGTACTGACTGAATTTGCTGCTCAGTAGAGTGTGGTTGCATGGTAAGTAAATGACAGAATTTGAAAGACGGGTCTTATTATTTGTTTACTCACAGTGTAATGTAATTAACACATGTCTGCAATTACCACATGAGCTTTCTAAAATCAGAAAAAGTTTAGTTTTTTAAGATGGAGATTACCTGTAGTTCCTAGGATGAATGTCATCATTTGGTTTCATGTGGAAGTGCCCTTGTTCTTCACCTCTGTGGTTTGCACAGCAGGGATCTTGCTGGTAACAGCACATCTGCCTGTTTCTCTTCCGCAGCTCTGGTTGTAAGCACCACTTCAGCCGGCTACGCCTTGGCCCCAGGACCCTTCGACTTGCCCTGCTTCCTGCTCACATCTCTGGGAACAGGCCTTGCATCCTGCGCTGCCAACTCCATCAACCAGGTCAGTGTCACAGCGCCGTCACTCATGCCCAGGTGTCATTGACAGACCCGGACAACCTTCCAAAGTCATGAATACCGGTGGAGAATCACTATGAACTTGAAATGCTGTGAATGCTATAGAAGCTGGTGGGTTGAACATCTGATTCCTCTTGTCTTTGTATGCCAGTGGTTTCTAAATATGATCAGGTGAGGCTGCAGTCAACCTCAACATAAGGACTTTAGAAAGTTTGTAGAAAAGACCTAAAGGATTAGTTTATTATAGTACAACAAAAATTTGAAATCCATCCTTAGTAGTTTTTTTTTTTTCATAATATTTATTTTTCCCAAACTTATGAAGATCCTTCATTTGCAGGATTTCAGAAAAAATGTTGTACCTAATAAACATCTTTTAATTCCCCTTTTCCAAAACCTTTCGACATACCCTCATAGGCTTCCAGTGACTGTGGAACTGTGCATTAAAAATAATGTGCAGAGCTTTCACAAGCTCGTATTCTTGGTAGTGTCTGGACATACCTGTGTCAGAGACATTCCCTTAATGCAGTCATAGTATGGGCTACGCCTCCTTCTTTTCTGTTATCTTTTTTTTTTTTTTTTAAGTTTGTTTATTTTTAGAGGAAAGACAAATCTGACTTGCAGAGAGAAGGAGAAACAGATCTCCCATCCTTCTGGCTCACTCCCGAAATGGTCTCAATGGCCAGAGCTGAACCGATCTGACCAGGAGCCAGGAGCTTATTCCGGGTCTCCCACAGAGCGGGTACAGAGTCCCAAGGCTTTGGGCTGTCCTCGACTGCTTTCCCAGGGCACAGGCAGGGAGCTGGATGGGAAGCGGGACAGCCAGGATTAGAAACATCATGCATAAGGGATCCTGGCACTTACAAGAAGAGGATTTAGCCATTGAGCCATTGTGTCGGGCCCTTTGCTGTACTTTCTTGAATTTCTTTGCATTTTTAAGCCACCATGAGCCAAAGCAGAATTTATTTTAAATAAGTATACCCAGCTCTAAAAAGCAATCGGTAACTCACTACATAGTTAACTTAGTGTATATATATATATATAAAATCATATTTAAGAAGTGGTTAGCATATTTTAATTTCTTTTTTTTCTTCTATTATTTTAAACATTGAATAATATCCCCAAGTATGTTTCCCCTCGCCCCCATTCCCGGTCACTGTGGTCTGCCATAGCCTTGTGGCTTTTTCATAAGATGCGATAATGAAAAAAATCTTGGCAAACACATCAGGAAAACCATTGACATCACCAGAACACCCAAGAGGAGCTGGCACAATCTTGAACAGGACTTCAAGTTTCCAGCAGGAAAACAGCTTGGCTGGGTCAACATGTGAGTGGCCAGCCAGGAGAATGTCGATGTTTAATTTGATAATGACTAAAAATCATTGTGTTCCTATAATGTCATATCAGCTCTTTGGGGGAAAGATCAATCTATTTCACATAAGTTTCTCTTGTTATTTTTTTTTTTAATGGCAAAAACAGTCTTTCCGTGAGATAAAAATAGTTTTGGTGTTTTACCAGAAATACTGTCCAATTCTGTAAATCAAGTACCGCATTTTCCCAGTGGTTGCTTTGTCGTCCTCCCTATTTCCTCACAAACAGAACACTTACAGTCTCATCATGCGTATAATTTCATTGAAAACTTGTTATGAGTAAAATTGGTTTATCTGGAGTGTTTGAGTCTTGTTTTTGAAAGGCTTATTTATTTTTATTGGAAAGTTAGATATACAGAGAGAAGGAGAGACAGAGAGGGAACGTGTTTCGTCCATTGATTCACTCCCCAAGTGGCTGCAATGGCCAGAGCTGAGCTGATCTGAAGCCAGGAGCCTCTTCCAGGTCTCCCACACGGGTGCAGGGTCCCAAGGCTTTGGGCCATCCTCAACTACTTTCCCAGGAAACAATCAGGGAGATGGGAAGCAAGTAGGGCCGCTGGGATTATAACCAGTGCCCATATGGGACCCTGACACATGCAAGGCGAGGAATTTAGCTGCTAGGTTACCATGCCAGGCCCTGAGTCTTTCTTTTTTTTTTTTTTTTTTAATGAGATCAGGCACGTTCAGGGTGGTATGGCCGTAGACTTTTTTTATTTTTAAACAATCACATTTATTTAGTTGTAGACCTATGTCAAGAATTTATAACAGGGTCATTGTGGCTTTCAGCTTGATTTTAAATCAGAAAACTTCATTTATCTGTGAGAACCTGTCTCAACATAAACTCCAACAAAATGTTTAAAACTGCCGTGCAGGGATTTGGTGGGTAGGGTTGAGAGAACTAAGAAAGCATTAAATATTCATAATATGCGTGGATTTCAAAGCTTTATTGGATTTCAAAAATCTTTACATCCAAATTTTTTAATTTCATTTTTCTTGAAGTATTTTGTGTGACTTTGTAGATCTTTCTGTTAACATCTTATTTAGATTTTATTTAGATTAATACACTCTTTTCACACTGATCCTTACATGTAGGTATATGTACATCATTACACAGATCTACTTAAATCATGTATATAGTAATGAAAATTTAAGCACATACATTTAAATATGTATAAATTGCCTATGTGTCATGAATATCCTGCAATGTCAATTCGAGGGGATGTCTTATGAAGAAGTTTTATGTCACAGTAAACATCTTTTCATTCCGTTTCTCCACAAACTTTCTGAAGTACCTTCATATTTCCTATGCAGTGATTTTAAAACTTGTATATGGAGGATGGGTTCAATGGCCCAACTGGCTAATCCTCCACCTGCAAACCTCTGCGTCCCCTAGGAGCGTCTCCTCAAGACTGCTCCAGTTCCCAGCCAGTCCCCTGCTATGGCATCTCCCTGCCGCAGAGTGAGCCAAAGCCTCGGGACCCAGCACCCGTGTGGGAGACGCAGAAGAGGCTCCTGGCTCCTAGCTTAGGGTTGGATCAGCTGTGGCCGTTGTGACCCTATGAGAGTGAACCAGCAGATAGGAACATCCTTTTCTCCGTTTCTCTTCTCTGTCAATTGGCCTTTCCATTAAAATTAAACGAATCTTTTAAAAAAGAGACCAAAACTTTTTGCGAGGAACTCAGTGTGACTGTGGCTTGATTTGTTGAATTGGCCTCTCTTTGTTTGACCTTTTAGGGATTTGCAGCGCTTTTTGCTGGATTGAGATTCTTGTAGCCGAATCATATCAGACATTCTCACTTATTTCTTTTGATAGATTTCTAAAGGTATGGGGTAAGTCCAACACTGAGCCCTTTTCCCTTTCAAGGTTTATTTATTCATTTATTTGAGAAGCAGGATTCTGGGAGAGACATATAGAGTTAGATCGAGCTTCCATTCGTCAGTTCGCTTTCCCAGTTGATCATAGTGCCTGGGGCTGCACCTGGCTGAAGCCAAGAACCTGGGGCTCCATCCGCGTCTCCCATGCGGGTGGCAGGGGCCGCAGCACCTGAGCCATCTCTGCTGCTTTCCCAGGCACATCAGCAGGGAGCCAGAACAGACACGGAGGAGCCCGGACTCGAACCAGCACTTCAACATGGGATGCTGGCAGCGCAAGGGTTGCTTCCTTAACTCCCTGGACCACAAAGCCAGCCCCTGTGTTGTTTCCAGAATAAAAGGTTTAAAGTAGGAAAAAAAAAAAAAGAGCTCATTTTAAGTAACTGAATGTTTTCTTTTGCTAGTCAAATCAACATACAGTTCTGTTTGGCAGTGCAGGAAAGTGCTCTTCGCCAACGCTGTGACAAAGCCTTGGCCGTGTTTATAGGTAGCATTTAAAGTCTATCCTTTTAATCCATGTCATTTTATTTAATTTTTAAAATTTGATTTATTTAAGAGCTGGAGGGTGGGAAAGAAAGGGAGCAAGAACTGGGTTGAGCCAAAGCCTGAAACTCAGTCTGAGGCTCACGTGGTGGCACTCTCGCCAGCACCTCCCATCCATAGGAAGTTGGGAGAAGGAATCCGAGCCAGCCGTCCAGGCCAGGTCATCGGTGTGGGATGTGCGCATCCTGAGCCTGAATTGTAAGCGGTAGGCTAAATGTCCTCGTCAGGTTGTTTTGATTATTTGTGAGATGGCGTTTGCTGATTCATGAATGTCTTACTGTTTCTTGGCCGTTGTGTTGTGTCCCGCCGGTGAGTTCTGCCTGCTGGAGCTGTTGGGATGCCTTTGATGAGTCTTCCCGCTGCCCACAGATTGGGCAGATATGTTCTGTAGTATCTTGTCAGTTTGGGTCGAACTGCACGTGTTTTGTATTATGTTTATTCTGTCAGGTCTTTCCATTTTTAGTGGAGGGCTTTTCAACCTATTTGTTTGTTTGTTTTTTGTAGTTTGCACTGGATTGCTCTTTGTTGCACTGGGGTTGGGCTGTGCATTGTAAGACATTTCCCAGCAATTCCAGTCTAGACCCACTAAACGCCAGTGATCTCCGCACACGGTGCAGCTGGGACATTGCTCAATGTGCCCTGGAAGCCAAAGCCACCCCACATTTCAGAACCCCTGCTTCACTACGTATTTCGACTTTGGCTTTAGCTCTGAGGTCTTTCCTGAAGATCCTGGCTGCAGTTTCTACCTTGGGAAGTCCTTGGCTTACAGGTCTTATTGCGTAACTGCCCATAGAGAGCTGCCATTGGATGCCCTGCCTTATGCCTGTGTGCTTAGCGTATTTGTGAAGTATGGCCCGTTACTGTGGGCGTCCCCATAGTGTGGATAGTTTGGATAAGAAATCCTGCGGTCTTGCTCTTCATCTCCTGTTAGTCAATAAGCAAGGCCTTGTAAAAGTGTCTGTGTCAGAGACCTTTTTGATCCTCAAGTGTGTCCGTGGGACAAGTGGACGTGTCCAGAACATACACACCCAAGGTCACCTGGCATGCCTCAGTGTCACTCTCTTTGTAGCTACTTTGAGAGTAGAGTTTTGTAGCTATACTGCCATTGACTCATTGTGCCTCACGCGCGCGCACACACGGCCTGAAACAATCTTTTTGTTATTACGCTGCTGTCAGTAAATTGTTCCACTTTTGTTGTGTGTGT